AGTGGAGTGGATATAGTGTAGATGTTAGTGTAGTGGATATAGTGTAGATGTTAGTGTAGTGGATATAGTGTAGATGTTAGTGTAGTGGATATAGTGTAGATGATAGTGTAGTGGATATAGTGTAGATGATTGTGTAGTGGATATAGTGTAGATGATAGTGTAGTGGATATAGTGTAGATGATAGTGTAGTGGATATAGTGTAGATGATAGTGTAGTGGATATAGCATAGATGATAGTGTAGTGGATATAGTGTAGATGATAGTGTAGTGGATATAGTGTAGATGATAGTGTAGATGATAGTGTAGTGGATATAGTGTAGATGATAGTGTAGTGGATTTAGTGTAGATGATAGTGTAGTGGATATAGTGTAGATGATAGTGTAGTGGATATAGTGTATATGATAGTGTAGTGGATATAGTGTAGATTATAGTGTAGTGGATATAGTGTACATGATAGTGTAGTGGATATAGTGTATATGATAGTGTAGTGGATATAGTGTATATGATAGTGTAGTGGATATAGTGTAGATTGTAGTGTAGTGGATATAGTGTAGATTTTAGTGTAGTGGATATAGTGTTGATGTTAGTGTAGATTTTAGTGTAGTGGATATAGTGTAGATGATAGTGTAGTGGATATAGTGTAGATTTTAGTGTAGTGGATATAGTGTTGATGTTAGTGTAGTGGATATAGTGTAGATGATAAAAAGAGAAGATTTTAGTGTAGTGGATATAGTGTAGATGATAGTGTAGTGGATATAGTGTAGATGATAGTGTAGTGGATATAGTGTAAATGATAGTGTAGCTGATAGTGTAGTGGATATAGTGTAGATGATAGTGTAGTGAATATAGTGGAGATGATAGTGTAGTGGATATAGTGTAGATGATAGTGTAGTGGATAAAGTGTAGATGATAGTGTAATGGATATAGTGTAGATGATAGTGTAGTGGATATAGTGTAGATGATAGTGTAGTGAAAAAAGTGTAGATGATAGTGTAGTGGATATAGTGTAGATGATAGTTTAGTGGATATAGTGTAGATGATAGTGTAGTGAATATAGTGGAGATGATAGTGTAGTGGATATAGTGTAGATGATAGTGTAGTGGATAAAGTGTAGATGATAGTGTAGTGGATATAGTGTAGATGATAGTGTAGTGGATATAGTGTATATGATAGTGTAGTGGATATAGTATATATGATAGTGTAGTGGATATAGTGTAGATTGTAGTGTAGTGGATATAGTGTAGATTTTAGTGTAGTGGATATAGTGTTGATGTTAGTGTAGATTTTAGTGTAGTGGATATAGTGTAGATGATAGTGTAGTGGATATAGTGTAGATTTTAGTGTAGTGGATATAGTGTTGATGTTAGTGTAGTGGATATAGTGTAGATGATAGTGTAGTGGATATAGTGTAGATTTTAGTGTAGTGGATATAGTGTAGATGATAGTGTAGTGGATATAGTGTAGATGATAGTGTAGTGGATATAGTGTAAATGATAGTGTAGCTGATAGTGTAGTGGATATAGTGTAGATGATAGTGTAGTGAATATAGTGGAGATGATAGTGTAGTGGATATAGTGTAGATGATAGTGTAGTGGAGAAAGTGTAGATGATAGTGTAGTGGATATAGTGTAGATGATAGTGTAGTGGATATAGTGTAGATGATAGTGTAGTGGATATAGTGTAGATGATAGTGTAGTGGATATAGTGTAGATGATAGTTTAGTGGATATAGTGTAGATGATAGTGTAGTGGATATAGTGTAGATTATAGTGTAGTGGATATAGCATAGATGATAGTGTAGTGGATATAGTGTAGATGATAGTGTAGTGGATATAGTGTAGATGATAGTGTAGTGGATATAGTGTAGATGATAGTGTATTGGATATAGTGTAGATGATAGTGTAGTGGATATAGTATATATGATAGTGTAGTGGATATAGTGTAGATGATAGTGTAGATGATAGTGTAGTGGATATAGCGTAGATGATAGTGTAGTGGATATAGTGTAGATGATAGTGTAGATGATAGTGTAGTGGATATAGTGTAGATTATAGTGTAGTGGATATAGTGTAGATTTTAGTGTAGTGGATATAGTGTAGATGTTAGTGTAGTGGATATAGTGTAGATGATAGTGTAGTGGATATAGTGTAGATGATTGTGTAGTGGATATAGTGTAGATGATAGTGTAGTGGATATAGTGTAGATGATAGTGTAGTGGATATAGTGTAGATGATAGTGTAGTGGATATAGCATAGATGATAGTGTAGTGGATATAGTGTAGATGATAGTGTAGTGGATATAGCGTAGATGATAGTGTAGTGGATATAGTGTAGATGATAGTGTAGTGGATATAGTGTAGATGATAGTGTAGTGGATATAGTGTAGATAATAGTGTAGTGAATATAGTGTAGATGATATTGTAGTGGATATAATGTAGATGATAGTGTAGTTGATATAGTGTAGATGATAGTGTAGTGGATAGTGTAGATGATAGTGTAGTGGATATAGTGGAGCTGATAGTGTAGTGGATATAGTGTAGCTGATAGTGTAGTGGATATAGTGTAGATGATAGTGTAGTGAATATAGTGTACATGATAGTGTAGTGGATATAGTGTAGATGATAGTGTAGTGGATATAGTGTAGATGATTGTGTAGTGTATATAGTGTAGATGATAGTGTAGTGGATATAGTGTAGATGATAATTAGCGTGGATATAGTGTAGATGATAGTGTATGGTGGATATAGGTGTAGATGATAGTGTAGTGGACTATAGTGTAGATGATGGTGTGAGTGGATATAGTGTGCCTTGTTGGTGTAGTGGATATAGTGTAGATTATGGTGTAGTGGATATAGTGTAGAAGATAGTGTAGTGGATATAGTGTAGAATGATAGTGTAGTGGATATAGTGTAGAAGATAGTGTAGTGGATATAGTGTAAGAAGATAGTGTAGTGGATATAGTGTAGATGATAGTGATAGTGTAGATATAGGATAGTGTAGATGATAGTGTAGTGGATATAGTGTAGATGATAGTGTAGTGGATATAGTGTAGATGATAGTGTAGTGGATATAGTGTAGATGATAGTGTAGTGGATATAGTGTAGATGATAGTGTAGTGGATATAGGATATATGATAGTGTAGTGGATATAGTGTCAGACCTACACCCCTCTAAGACCACTGTGTCAGACCTACACCCATCTAAGACCACTGTGTCATACCTACACCCCTCTAAGACCACTGTGTCAGACCTACACCCCTCTAAGACCACCGTGTCAGACCTACACCCCTCTAAGACCACCGTGTCAGACCTACACCCCTCTAAGACCACCGTGTCAGACCTACACCCCTCTAAGACCACTGTTCCGACCTACACCCTTCAGGCCACTCAGACCTACACCCATCAGACCACTAGACCTACACCCCTAAGACCACCATGTCAGACCTACACCCCTCTAGACCACTGTTCAGACATGCACCCTCTAAAACCACTGTGTCCAGACCTACACCCCTCTAAAACCACTGTGTCAGACCTACACCCCTCTAAGACTTTCACTGTGTCAGACCTACACCCCTCTAAGGTTTCCACTGTGTCAGCCTACACCCCTCTAAAACTTTCACTGTGTCAGACCTACACCCCTCTAAGACCACTGTGTCAGACCTACACCCCTCGCGTTTCCACTGTGTCAGACCTACACCCTCTAAGACCACTGTCAGACCTACACCCTCTAAAATTTCACTTGTGTCAGACCTACACCCCTCTCGCGTTTCACTGTGTCAGACCCTACTCCCCACCTCTAAGACCACTGTGTCAGGCCTTGCCCCTCTAAGACCACTGTGTGGGCCTACACCCCTCTAAGATTCCCTGTATCAGACCTAAACCCCTCAAAGACCACTGTGTCATACGTTCACCCCCCTCTAAGACCTGTGTAATACCTACACCCTCTAAAGACCACTTTGATCTAACACCCTTCTAAGACCACTGTGTGTCAGACATGCACCCTCTAAGACCCACTGTGTCAGACCTACACCCTCTGAATCACTGTGGTGAGCCTACACCCTCTAAAAGCACCATTATGTCAGACCTGCACCCCTCTAAGACCACTGTGTCCAGACCTACACCCCTCTAAGACCCACAGTGTCAGATCTACACCCTCTAAGACCACTGTTTCCAGACCTACACCCTTCTGGAGCCTGTGAAAGTAAGACCTACACCCCTCTAAAACCACTGTTTCAGGCCTACACCCTTCTAAGGCCCTGTGTCAGGCCTACACCCCTCTAAGACACTGTTTCAGACCTACACACCCCTTCTAAGACCACTGTCAGACCTACACCCCCTTAGACCACTCTGTCCAGGCCTGAACCCTCTAAGACCACTGTGTCAGACCTACACCCCTCTAAGACCACTGTGTCCAGACCTGCACCCCACTGGACCACTGTGTCCAGACCTACACCCTCTAAAGGCCACTGTGTCAAACCTGCACCCCTCTAAGACCACTGTGTCAGACCTACACCCCTCTAAAACCACTGTGTCAGACCCCACCCTTACAGACCACTATGTCAGACCTACACCCCTCTGTTCCACTGTGTCCAGACCTGCACCCTCTAAGACCACTGTAGCAGACCTACACCCCTCTGGGGCCACACTGTGTCAGACCTGCACCCTCTAAGACCTGTGTCAGGCCTACACCCTCTAGAACCACTGTGTCAGACCACACCCCTCTAAGACCTGTGTCAGACCTACACCCCTCTGAACCACTATATGTCAGGCCTACACCCTCTGAACCACTGTGTCAGACCTACACCCCTCTAAGGCACCACTGTGTCAGACACCACCCCTCTTGGAGCCACTGTGTCAGACCTACACACCCCTCTAGGTTTCCTGTGTTAGACACACCCCTCTAAGACCACTGTGTCAGACCTACACCCCTCTAAAAGACCACTGTCAGACCCTACACCCCTCTAAGAACCACTGTGTCAGACCTACACCCCTCTAAAACCACTGTGTCAGACCTACACCCCTCTAAGACCATTGTGTCAGACCTACACCCCTCTAAGACTTACCGTGTCAGACCTACACCCCTCTAAGACCACAGTGTCAGACCTACACCCCTCTAAGACCACTGTGTCAGACCTACCACCCCTCTAAGACCACTGTGTCAGACCTACACCCTCTAAAGACCACTGTGTCAGACCTACACCCTTCTAAAATTTCCTGTGTCCAGACTCTCCCCTCTAAAGACCACTGTGTCCAGACCTACACCCCTCTAAAGACCACTGTGTCAGACCTACACCCCTCTAAGACCACTGTGTCAGACCTACACCCTTCTAAGACCACTGTGTCAGACCTACACCCTCTAAGACCACTGTGTCAGACCTACACCCTCCTGAACCACCAGCCAATCAATACACACCCCTCCTAAGACCACTGTGTCAGACTACCCTCTAAGACCACTGTGTCAGACCTACACCCTTCTAAGACCACTGTGTCAGACCTACACCCCTCTAAGACCCTGTGTCCCAGCCTACACCCCTCTCTAAGACCACTGTGTCAGACCTACACCCCTCTAAGACCACTGTGTCAGACCTACACCCCTCTAGAACCACTGTGTCAGACCTACACCCTCTAAGACCACTGTGTCAGATCTACACCCCTCTAAAAGACCACTGTGTCAGACCTACACCTAGCAAAGACCACATGTCATACCTTCACCCTCTAAGGCCACCCAGCCCAGTCATGCCTACACACCCTCTAAGACCACTGTGTCAGACCTACACCCCTCTAAGACCACTGTGTCAGGCCTACACCCCTCTCTAAAAGACCACTGTGTCATGCCACACACCCTCCCAGACCACCTCAGACCTACACCTCTAGACCACTGTGTCATGCCTACACACCCTCTAAGACCGCATGTCAGACCTACACTGCCCTCTAAGACCACTGTGTCATACACCACACCCTCTGAACCACCGTGTCCAGACTGCACTGTAGACCACTGTGTCAGACCTACACCCCTGCCCCAAGGCCACTGTGTCAGACCCTGCACCCTGTAAGACCACTGTGTCAGACCTTCACCCCTCCTAGGAACCACTGTGTCATGCCACACCTCTAAAGACCACTGTGTCAGGGCCCTCCCTCTAAGACCTGTGTCAGACCTTCACCCCTCTAAGACCACTGTGTCAGACCTACACCCCTCTAGGGCCACTGTTTCGGGCCAGCCTACACCCCTCTAAAGACCACTGCTGGCTTCATACGTTCACCCCTCAAAAAGACCACTGTGTCATACCCACCACCCCTCTAAGACCACTTTGATGCCATGCCCTTCCCCAAGGCCACTGTGTCAGACCTACACCCTAAAAGACCACTGTGTCAGACCTACACCCCTCTAAGACCACTGTGTCAGACCTACACCCATCTAAGACCACTGTGTCATACCTACACCCCTCTAAGACCACTGTGTCAGACCTACACCCCTCTAAGACCACCGTGTCAGACCTACACCCCTCTAAGACCACCGTGTCAGACCTACACCCCTCTAAGACCACCGTGTCAGACCTACACCCCTCTAAGACCACCGTGTCAGACCTACACCCTCTAAGACCACTGTTTCAGGCCTACAACCCTCTAGACCACCGTGTCAGACCCACAACCCTCTAAGGCCACCTTGTCAGACCTACACCCCTCCTAAGACCACCCGTGTCAGACCCCACCCTCTAGACCACTGTGTCCAGACCTACACCCCTCTAAGACCACCGTGTCGGAGCCTACACCCTCTAAGACCACCGTGTCAGACCCACACCCTCTAAGACCACCGTGTCGGAGCCTACACCCCTCTAAGACCACTGCGTCAGACGCACACCCCTCTAAGACCACTGTGTCAGACCTACACCCCTCTAAGACCACTGTGTCAGACCTACACCCCTCTAAGACCACCGTGTCAGACCTACACCCCTCTAAGACCACTGTGTCAGACCTGCACCCCTCTAAGACCACTGTATCAGACCTAAACCCCTCTAAGACCACCGTGTCAGACCTACACCCCTCTAAGACCACTGTGTCAGACCTACACCCTCTAAGACCACCGTGTCAGACCCACCCTCTAAGACCACCGTGTCAGACCCACCCCTTTAAGACCACTGTGTCAGACCTACACCCCTCTAGACCACCGTGTCAGACCTACACCCCTCTAAGACCACTGTGTCAGACCTGCACCCCTCTAAGACCACTGTATCAGACCTAAACCCCTCTAAGACCACCGTGTCAGACCTACACCCCTCTAAGACCACTGTGTCAGACCTACAGCCCTCTAAGACCACTGTGTCAGACCTACAGCCTCTTGTATAATTAAATCCGCTTTTGTTTCCTTCTGGGTGACATTATTTTGAGAGATTTTATTTTCTATTGTGTTTTGGGGGGAATTTGTTTTGGTGATATGTATGAGTGAGAGAGTTTCTTTGTTATTGTTAGATTGTGTTATTCAATAGGTCTGTCTATCTGTTTGTCTGTCTATATCTGTCTGTCTTTGCAATGTGTGAGTGTTTTTTTCTGCCAAATTGTCTTCCATAATTGATGCGGAACTATATTTTCGACACTACCCCCGTAATTCTTGCCCACAATACCCTTGTCTATACACACACACACACACACACACACACATTTGCGTGTTGGCCCCCTCTGCCCCGTTTTTTGTACCTTATATCCTCTACCCCCCCCCTCCCCCTCACCCCGGATATCCCCGTCATTCCTCGGGTAACATTAAAGGGTAGCGGCGGAGACATAACTAACTTAAAAAGTCTACTCTCGTCTCCTTGTTTCCACGAAGCAGTCAGACCTCTGTGTGTGTCACCCGTATAGTGAGGCGGGTAGGAATGCACGCGTCAGACTGATTGTGGCCACTTTTATACACTGCGGATGTTCCAATGTATTTTTATTTTATTTTTTCTCCGTCGTGAGTTTTTAGAAAAGTGTTTTGCTTTGTTCGTGTGTTTATGTTTGTGTTTTTGCTGTAGTGTGTTTATTTTGTCTGTTACTCTTTTGTTAACTTATGCATTGTATTTTATATTTTTTGCTATAGTTTTTAAGTCTTATTTTTTTGTTAACTCGTATGTTTGGTAAAAATTCATATTAAAATGTGTTTATAAGCTGCTGATGTAGTTCCAAAGATTTTTTCCTTCTTTGTAAATTTTCAGAAAAGTATTATGTTGTTTTCGTATTCCTGCTTTCGTTAAATAAAAAAAAAAAAAAATCGTTGTGCTGTACACCGCAGGAGGGTTGGTTTCAGTATTTTTTTATTATTATTTTTTTTCACTCGGGAGTTCTACAAAGAGATATTTACGAGTGTCCATATTAACCGGGGTGATACTATTCAACGTTTCTGTAAGTCGAATAAATTCTCTTTTATATGTCTGGGTTTGGTGAATAAAAACACCCAGCTATATGAACGTTGTGTCTTTATAAACAGGTCGAACTCTTCATCTTTGTGGGGGTGAGAACGTGAGCCTGGGGTGAGAACGTTACCTTGGGGTGAGAACGTTACCTTAGGGTGTGAACGTTACCTTGGGGTGAGAACGTTACCTTGGGGTGAGAACGTTACCTTGGGGTGAGAATGTTACCTTGGGGTGAGAATGTTACCTTGGGGTGAGAACGTTACCTTGGGGTGAGAACGTTACCTTGGGGTGTGAACGTTAGCTTGGGGTTAGAACATACCTATATAAGTAGTACATCTGAGTGGACTGGGGATGCTTTGGGATCGACCTATAGTCATCCCTAAGACAGAAGTCGAGTTTTATCTCCACTCAGCCACCGCCTCTCACCCCCAACCCCAACCTCTATCGGAGAAACAGTGAAAGTCTTACCTCAGGTTCAGTAAATTAATTAAGTTATGGTACAGTAGAGTCCAACACTGGGTAAACACAAGACAACAAACAGTAATGGACAGTTTTATCCCAGAACCAGTCCATTAGTGAGAGTAGTAGTAGTAGTAATGGTACACTTGATCGGCCTATGGTGCACAAATGTCACTCAAAATATAATGGTTACAGGAAGATATTTTGTTATTGCTCGTCCCCGGCAGGCAAGGTAATATAGCGATATGTGCGAAATAATAATAATAATAATAATAATAATAATAATAATAATAATAACAACAATAATAATAATAATGATAATAATAATAATAATAAAAATTATTATTAACGGTTTATTAAATGAACATGGCAAGCGGAAGGCTGAAAATATACAGTTACATAATTGGGAAATGGGTCTCTTGATTAACAAATAATGTACAAGTAACATAAGTGATACAAATATGATACATAATAAGGTGGGGAGAAGGTTATACTACAAGGCATTCCAACATAGTAACATATCAAAAAGGTAAGATTGACTGGAAGTGAATACACTGGTTGATTACGAGTTATTGATAATTTCTTACAATGGTTGAGACTGGGCTGTTCTTATAGTGATCAATACGTGCTCGTAAGGACATCCTGCATGAATGATCCGTGTACATAAAGACTACAGATGACTTATAATATAAAGAAAATAGTACTAAATTACATTAGACATAATAGTAACAGTATTGGTGCATATCGTGCTATGAGGAGGTGTGTTTGTATTACTGGGAACTAATTATCGTATCTATTACAGGTAAACATCGTCACAAGCGAAAGTTAATGGTCTGAGATACAAGTTAAGGCTACAGAGAGGTCGAGGCCACTCCACCATAACGCCTTGGTAGGAACGTTTTGTTATGGTAAGTAAATGAGGAAATACTTGGTAATTTAAGTTAAGGTTAGGAATGGATGATGAATTCCGGTGTGTGTCACTTTGTATATTTATGTATATTTATGTATATGTGTATACAGTGTGGTTATTAGGTGTTCAAGAAGGATGTTCACTGTATTATGGTGTTTGTTAATCGTGAAAATATTGGACGTATTCGTATCTGCATTAGCCAATCAGCTTTCATTTTTACAACGAATCAGTCAACCAATCCGGGTTGATGTAGCTAATTAGGTAATCGTATTTTATATGCAACGAATAACTCAAGTTCAGTTGTGTAATCTTAGTCAGCCAATTTTTTATGACCTATTACTTAATCCTATTTTGTCATTTATCTCTATTTCGTTTACCAATCACAAAGCCTGTTTCTATAACCAATTATCATACCTATTTTAAAAGCTAGCCCTCTTTTTACGACCAATAACAAAGGCTAATTTCATATCCAGGAACCACCCAATTTTGATACCCAATTACCATAGGCCCATTTTTAAGACCAATTGTCAGACTTTATACCTGACAACTAATCACTAAACCCAGATTAATTTTTAACCAATTAGCTTCCTCGAGTTATATAAACAAATCAGACAAGACTCCCAATTAAAACAACTGATCAACCCCCCACTATTATCTATCCATATTATTTTCATAACCCAATTAATTAACCCAATTATTGACTCTACCGATCTATATTTTTATACAAACATTCAGCTAAGCCTCAAAGGGAATTATTTTGTTATTATTTTTTTTGCCGTCTATTGTCTCAATTAACCAATTTACGAGTAATGGGGGAATCGTTGACAGCTATATATGGTGATGGACTTGGTAATGGGCGTGGTGATGGGCTTGGTGATGGGCGTGGTGATGGGCGTGGTGATGGGCTTGTCATGGTACGGTGTATGCTCACAGGAGAACTATCATCGATCGGCGTGGGTGTGGGCGTGGCTACCATCTATGGATGTAGATGTGGGCGTGGCTACCATCTATGGATGTAGGTGTGGGCGTGGCTACCATTTATGGGTGTAGGTGTGGGCGTGGCTACCATCTATGGATATGGATGTAGGTGTGGGCGTGGCTACCATTTATGGGTGTAGGTGTGGGCGTGGCTACTGTATGTATATTCTGTATTATGTATGCTGTATTATATATTATGTATGTATATTATGTATGTGCTCCATTTATATATATTATTTATTCAGCCTAGCTAGCAGCGT